TGACGGCGTAGGCGTGTGTGGACACGGAAAGTTCACAGAACACTGAGTGGGGGACACTTAACAGCAACGTCTCATCCTCTCAGCATATGCAGCACCCGCATACCCACACTGGGACAAAACCTGGATATCTGCATGTCACAGTGTGAACAATGACCATTATCTCTGGGACTCAGGTCAGTTTCGTGTTCTTCTTTACAGTTTGCAGGTTTCACAATACTAAAAGAAGCGTATATTACACGTGCCGTTAGGAGCGGGAATGAGCTCACCATAGAGCCCACCAGGGCTCTGGGCCGCGCGGCGTGGGCGTCGTTCCCAGATCTGCGTACGCCAGTGCCGCTCTGCGACTTACCAATGTGCCCCTTTCTCCCGGAACTGTGAGAAGGAGATTCCCTCGAGGGCTGCCCAGGTGTCCTCTGGCTGACTCCCGGTGTCCCTTCCTTGGGGGGGCGGCTTCGCGCAGTAGTGCAGCACGGGCAGGGCGCCCAGCCAGCAGTGGAGCCGCTTGTCGACGCACGAGTGGCAGAGGCTTACCAGGTACTCGCGCCAGCTGCAAGGGGAATGAAGGCCCCACCGTGAGCTCAGGGTGGCCACCGGCTCTGACGTCCCCAAGGAAAAGGGAGCACTCCACACACTTGGCAGGAGCACCCGAGTGGCTTCCCTCGGCCCCACCCTAGTGCCTCGGGCTCTTCACAGGCCCCCACTGAATCCCCACAGCAAACTCCGGTGGAGTTATTCCCACCCACGCCGGAAGGCTGCGAAGCCGGGGTGCGAGCTGAGCAGCCGACGGTCCTGTGCGCCAGAGCTGGGATCTGAGTCCAGGCCACCTGGTCACGGTAAATCTAAACAGAGAGCAACTTTTTCAGCCTTAGGGGCGGGGCTCTAAACAACACATGGTGCATTTCCTCGAGTCACGGAACGCGAATGCTCCTCAATACTCTGAAACGCGCGGGCCGGCTTTGTGCGCTGCCTCGCCACCTTCCTCCTCTTTTTCAAAACGCGCAGAGTGGAGCCGGGTGTTTTAATCTGTCACACCAAGAGGCAGATGTCCTCGTATAACCTACCTGATGTTATTCTCAAGTTCAAATCAACACAGCCACAGAAAATACCGTGAGCAGACCCTGTGAGCATCAGAGCTCAGGAGGGTCCGAGGAGGTCTCCCCACCATGTCAAAGGCCATCGCCTGGTCACCATCAAACCTTCCAGGCAGAGGCTCGGGGAGGACGCCCCCATCGCTTCTGCAGACGTCCTCGGACTGGACTCCTACAGCAAGCGTCATGCCGCAACACCCCCAAATGCACGAACACGGAGGCTTTGCATGAGACAACACAAAGCGTCTAAGAAGCAGGGTATTCAACAGAATGTAGACTATAATAAAATTTTAAATAGCATATATGCTAGGAAAAGGCTAGAGGAATAAACACTGAAATGACAACAGCGAGTGGTAAATTCGGGGTGGTTTTATTTCTTCCTCATAAGCTTCCAACCATTCTGTCGAGTGCTTATTTTTGTAATCTGATAAAAATCACTATAAATGGCCATAACTCTTTTGACAAAAAAATTAACAATACCTCTGAGATGTCCCGAGGATGTGGCTTAGGTCGTTGTGAAGGTCGTCTGGTGAGCCGGCATCCGGGACAAGCATGTCACACAGCAAGTTCAGGTCATCTTCTGACAAGGGCAAGCTGAATTTTTCCACTGAGAAAAGCACGATCAGGCCCATCCTCAGTTTACTCTTCACTGGGTAGTCTTTGGGCAGAGAGTCCCCTCTTCTGTCCAGAAATGGTTCCATTTGCTTTTTCAAATACTCCCACAAGTCTCTCTTCACCTGATCCCGGGGAAAAAAGGAAGATGCGTCCATCACGGGGTTGACTCCGTCGGAGGTGGCCAGAGCTGCCCCGTCACTGCCGTCAGCTCCCCAACAGCCGGCAGGGGACCAAGGCCCCCGAAGGGCAGGGAGGGCTCCACGGAGGGCTCACCACACCCCCCCGCCTGCCCGCCACACCGCTGGGAGCCGCAGGAGTGCACAGTGGCGCGGTCCAGAGACCCTGGCCTGGAGGGGGACTCTCAGGTGGGGACCTCGATGCTCACAGGGGTTCAACTGTCACCTCAGAAGTGCCTCCAGGGCTGCCTCAAGACCACCTGGACCACAGCACAGCCGGGTGAAGGTGTTCCGCCCTCTGTCCACTCTGCCCCGAGGCCAGGGAGGACTCGGGGCCAATGCACGGGGCTCGGGTGTGCAGCCAGGAGGGGGAGGGACACAGGAAGGGCAGGGGGGTCCCAAGAGGAGGGAAAGGATGGAGAGGGCGACCTGTCCCCCACCTGCACCCTGACCCAAGGGGTCACAGGGTCATCCAGACACTAGAAGGTCAGGTGACGCTGCCCGCCCAGAAGATAGAGCAGCTGGTGACACAAAGGAAGCCCGATACCTCTTTCTCTCCGTAGCCCAAAGCGCTCCACGGCTGTGCGCGTCCTTCATAGACCATAGGCACTCGGACAACAGAGTAAAACTGCTGGAACTGGGTGAAAAAGTTGTTTAAGTTGATGGCGTCCCAGGTCTGGAGGACGCTGAAGATGCCGTCCAGCATCACGGTGGCGGCCAGCTGCTTTCCTTTCACCAGCGACCTCCGCGTCCCGTCTGTTACGTGGTCTAAGAAACTCTGGAACTTCCCGGGAGGCCTCATGCAAATTATGTCATCATACTGATGCCACTCTAAGAGGGACAGAAAGAACAGTGTTGTACCCAAGATCATCAAAACCCACGAGACCAGACGCTGCCCTAGAAGGCTGATGGTGACCGGCAGAAACACGGAGCGACTGGGCCAGAGGAGGGGAAGGAAGGAAGGAAAACCAAAGACCCGGCAAACCGATGCCAGTCCACGCGCCGCGCTGGGGTCGGCTCCCGCCCCGTGCAGACAGATCCTAGACACCCCACCGTGACGGGAGGGAAACCCAAGGTCACAGGATTTGGGGGCCTGAAAATACGAGGACAGATCTAACCACATGGCTCAGCAGACTTGGCAACTGAGCTCCTTAAACACGATCACGAGGAGGTCACACACGCTATACCACAACTGCGCCACGCGCTGGCAACGGCGCACTGCCCTGCCAAGTTACTCAGTCGGAGCAGCGCTGGTTTCCTCTGTTCTAGGAACAGGGACAGATGCCCCGCGAAGGTTGGCCCTGGGCAGGGTACCCGACACAGGACGGGGCCTGAATTCATGGCTGCTCTTAGGACCAGGTGCCCAGGGCATGAGTGTGGCCCTACAGTACCCAGTGAGGTCAACTTTAAATAATTAGAAAGCAAAAGAGGTCACAGAGATGGCCACAAGCCACATGAACACAAACAAGTAAAAGTCAGTTAGCAATCAAGTGTCTGCACAGACCTCCCCCTGCCCGCCCCCGCCCCGGCCTCCTGCGCGGCTGTGCACCACGGCTATTTTCCTGGCTGGCCTGCCCTGCCCAGCCCTGCCCTGCTCTGCCTGCCCTGCCCTACCCAGCCCTGCCCAGCCCTGCCCTGCCCTGCCTGCCCTGCCCTACCCAGCCCTGCCCGACCCTCCTGGACTTGTAACTGTTTCGCTCTTGGCTCAGTTGTCACCTCCTGTGCAAGCTTCTCCTGTCCTCCAGGCCAAATCCCCCACCGTGTGTCCCTTTAACTGGGGCATCCATGTGGCATTTATCATATTAGGAATTCCATATTTATTTATGGGATTATCGGACTAATGCCTATTTTCTCAAAGCTTAACTTCTTGGAGTACTCTATCTAGTGATTAAAAATCACACGTGCAAAAAAAAGAAAAAAGTATACTGTAAAAAGTTATTACGACTCTGTCTTTGTCCAAGGTCGAATAACAGGGACTAAATTTACACTCCTCTGTGTCTGCCTTAAACAACTGAACACATGGACAAAATAAACAAGACAGCTGTTTTCAAGACACTGGACACCAGGCAACGAAGGGCAGGACAGGTCGCCGCGGGGCAGAACAGGCGAGGGAGCCCTGCGGCATCCCCAGGCCTCTGGGTGGGAGCTGTGGGGGCCCCAGAGGGCGCTGCTCCAGTGCTCCCTGCCGAGAGGGGAAGCTCCCGAGCGTGCACCAGCGGTGGACGGATGAGCAAAAGGCGCACAGGGCGACAGGCGGCTCCGAATGCCTCTGACCCTCCTCACGGGCCCCCTGCTGCCCCGTACCGCACCCAGCCCTTCCTCCAGCTGCATTTTCTGTCTCTTAATTAAAACTCCTTCCCTTGTTTCCTCCGGCACGCGAGTGGGTAAGTCACGCTGTGCTCAAGGGAGAAACCAACGTGTCTTTAACTGACCAGAGACGCGATCCAAAGTCAACGTCATGGAACGCCGAGGGGCAGAGAAGACCTGCACAGACCAGGCTAATCCGAGCTCTGCAGAGAGAGGGCCCCGGCCCGCGGCCCTGGCACCAACGCCATGGAGCTACAGCGGAGCCCGCCGCCCGCGCTCACCTCCCGAGCCCAGGAGCGAAGATCTGACGAGCAGGCAGCGGTTGACGTGCTCGCCCTCCTGCTGCTGCTGCTTGTAGATGAACTCGTACTCCCAGCGGCCCTTGCTGTGGCCGACGACGTACTTGTAAGGGATGGGTTTGTTCAGGTGCTGCCGGGAGATGACCGTGCTGCCCTCGACGAGCCAGCCGTCCTCAGGTAAGCTCCTGTGAATAACGGGGTACGGCCAGTTACCCGAAAATCCTACGCTGGAAACTGCAGTTCTTCTCAAACACAGCACGGAGTGCAGACCCAAAGGTACGAATCGATGCTGACCACGAGGAGGCTTCTAGAACAAGACGTGGTTTCCAGACAGAACCGAGGAAAAAAGGACCCTGACAAAATGCGTCACAGAAAGGCGTGGCCAGGGAGACTGGCCGAAACATTCGTCTTCCGAAAGTCTAAGAACGTCACCAACTTCCTTCAAAGTCCCCGCGCACGTCCCCGCGGGGCTGCTCACCTGGTGCAGTGCAGCTCACAGACGTTCCTGCTCCATTTCGGCTGCCCGAGCTCTTCTCCCCCGCGGACAAACAACTTATGGTGGTCGGGGTTGAATGCAAAATGTTTGGAGAGGATGGCGTGGAAGTACACCGTGACGCCTTCTCTGGGGCTCGGCAGGCTGCAGGGAAGCCCAGACGGAATCTGATCCTTGCAAAATCCATCCACCCATCCAAGTGCACACGTACCCTACAATGGAGCCCACATCCCACATTGCCCACCGCGGGGGTCCTCTCTCCCATCCCTCTAAAATGGAGGAAGAAGAAGGTGGGCACAGAGTGGCCAATCCCGCCCCACCCCCGAAGTGCTGGGCACGGCGTGGGAGGCACCAGCCGGAGCTTGGGCGGTGACACCCCCCCCGCAGCTCCCTAAGGCTCTGGGACTCCAGGGACTACGAGGAGACAGGAGTTGGGACAGGCGCTCCTCCCTGCCCCGCTCCTGCGCAGTCCCCTTTCCCACAGAGCTAAACTCCCCGACCAGAGGGCACCTGGCTCCTCAGGCTGCCACGCCCCCACCAGGGCCACACCCTACCTCGCCTTGACTTCCTGTGCGGTGCTCCGGTTTCTCTGCTCCTTCTCACTCTTCACAGCCGTGGCATAACCTCTGCTGTTCCCTTCTGGCTTCTTCGGGCCTCCCTGCTGCCCGCTCTCCTTTTGACCAGCATTCTCTCTAGTAACGGCCGTCTTGTCCTTGGTCTCAGCCTCCTGGAACAAGCAAGCAAGCCCCAACCTTCACGGCCAGCTTCCACGTTGGCCCCGACAGCTGACGCTTCTCACAGCAGCCAGAATGGCCACGTCCCTTCCCTGCTGGGGCCTTCCCGTGCCTTTGGCCCACTGACCACAGCCACCAAGAGTGCCTGTCTCCAACCTCATCCGTGGCCTCTCCTGCCTCCCTCCTCCTGGGGGAACCAGCTTCCTTGCTGCTCTGGGAACAGGCCTACCACACTACCCCAGGGCCTTTGCACAGGCCATCCCCTTGGACTAGGACACGCCCCAGACATCTCCATGGCTCACCTCACACCCTCTCCTCAGGCAGGCCTTGCCCAGTCACGCTGGCTATGGGGGTACATCCCCCTGTGCCTTCCCAGCACTGCCTCTCACCTCCTTCTCTCACGGCACTTTTCTCTGCCTGGCCTGGCTTTCTTTCTCTTCTCTAGAATGTGAGCTCCATGGAGAGAGGGGCCTTGTCTCGTTCCCACTGTACCCCTAGCACCTAATAAACATTCCCTGAGTGATCCAATGAAAGGAGCGGCAGCAAGAAGGAGCCACAGGTGCAGCCTGGGCGGGAGCTTCCTGGGCGCAGCGGGCAGGAAGGACAGGCTCACCTGGCAGTGTCGTTTGGAAGCAGGCGTGGTTGCTGGTGGCTGTTTCGTCTTCGGAGCCTTGTCTTTCACTTCCTTCCTGGCCCCTTTAACTGGATGAGCTGGCTCGGCCGCAGCATCGCTCGCCTGGAAGGAACACCGACCCCAAAGCATCAGAGCCAAGGTGACAAGAGGGACCAGGGAGACGAACTCAGTGGCTCATGGGTCTGCATCTGCCACGAGCCGAGCGACAGGCTGGGTCGGCACCTGGGTGCAGAGGCAGTCCGTTCCACGCCCCTGTCCTGGGAGCCAGTCCCCGAAGAGGACGCCCTCCTGGGCAGGGAAGCGGCCTTGGAGCTGCGCGGCACAGCAAAGGTGTCAAGGACACAACGTGCCACCCCCGGCCACCATGCCCTGACAACTCACCCCGGCGGCGGGGGCTCCCGCCTGCTGTCCGGAGGTCTGCTGTTCTGTCCCGGGCTCAGAGCTGCCCCCTCCTGACAACGACGACGACGGGAGCTCGGGGGCAGCCTCTTCAGCCCCAGGGCGGCCTTCGCAAGCAGAGGTGGTGGGGCCGGCCCTTTCCGGGGATCCCCCCACGGGGATGCTGGTGTCCCGGTCCTGCCCTTCCGACTGGTCCTGGGGTGAGGGGCTGCCCTGAGCCGAGCCTCCCGTGGCTGCGCCTGGTCCTCCCGCATCCTGACCCTGCGGGGGGCTGCCGCCAGCCTCCCCGTGGGCACGTGCGGAGGGTCCGTCACTCTCCAGCGGCGTCTCGCCTGTGCCCGAGGGCCGGCGCGGCTGGCCGATCTGACCACCCTGCTGAGTTTGGCCTTGGGGCAAGGCCGTGTCCTGGGTCCCAGGGTTTGAAAGCAAATTCAGACTCTGGGGGCTGGAAGGAGACAGGGGCAAGGACTCCAGCTCCGCAGAAGCGGAAGTCTTCCGAACATTCTTCTTCCTTTTCTTTTTGCTCTAAACAGAAAGAGAGACGCTCGTTTTATTTCTTAGAGTTACTACACTCCGGCCAGTGTTTCCTCCGATTTTCTCTCAAGTCCATCAAGCTTAGCTCGACCAAACTATCTCACATCTATCGAGTCTGTAATTTCTTTACTGGAAAGAATGAAATTCAGAAACGAAAGGAAGGGACAGTGCAGAGGGACCAGCGTCTACGCTGCGCCGGCCACACACTCGGCCCCGCGGGAGCGGCGCTGAGGGCCTCGCTCAGAAGGGCCCTCGCCGGGCAGGTGCACTGGGGCCTCCGCACTGCACCCCCGCCGTGCGAAGACTTCGTGCGCCACGACTCGAGGGGGGAGGGTGAGGCCGCAAGGTGAACAGGAGTCTGGGCGGCTCCTCCCTGCGCTCTGGGCAGGCGCGCCAGGGCTCAAGGGCAGCAATCAGCGAGGAAGCCTGTGAGGGGCTGTGCGGGACCCCGGACCCCGTGGGGGGCTGACGCTCCGCCTCCCAGCGACGCTGGCACGTGTGGATCGTGTCGTTACCTGCGAGTGACTCGTAAAGCCCCTGAGACCTGGCTGTTCATGACGGGCCCCACCGCACGGACAGGCAGCCGGGGTGTGACCCTGCGCCCGCCCCGCACCCCCATGGCCAGGGTTAAGTTGTCTGGCAAAGGGAAACAGCAGAGCAGCACCCGTAGACGTGCGTCCGGGGGGCCGATACGCCCTCTCTGCAGCCCCTGGCAGCGCAGGGACAAGGACACGCCACAGGGGCCCATCACTGACACTCCAGGAGCCCCTCGGCTGACAGCCAGCCCCCCTGCGGCCCCGAGGAGGGGAACGCACACCCACCAGGCCAGGGCACGAAGCCGGCCAGCGCACGCTCCAGGCCCAGGACCTCGGCATTCCTGCTCTCTAAGCTCAGAGGGAACCCAGCTCACCGTGCACAGGCCGAGGCTCGGCTCCAGCCACCCTCAGCCTTTGTCTCTGGCCCCCACCCCCAGGCCACCAACCCGCACACCTCTGGGAGTAAGCAGCCCGTCCCCGGGAGCAAGCATCACCCCTTAGATGGCACATTTCACGCATTCTGGTGCAGACAGGGGAGACTCACCTGCCAATGAAGGCAGATTCTAGAAAAGGAGCTTAAAGTGAGCGAATGAAGTTAAAGTCTGGAAAAGCTGCTAAGGACACCAGGAGAGCTGGCTGAGCAAGGGGCCAGCTAGGGAGGCCAGTGGGCAGGGGTTAGGGTCACAGACAGGATCGGGCTGGATGGCTTCGACAGCCCCGACCCCAGATGGGCGGTGGCCCCGGTCCTGGCAGCCTCTGGTGCCAGCAGGAGCTGAGGGGGCAGATCTGACCCCGGGCAGCAGGTCCAGCGGGACACAGGCACCAGGGAGCTGAGGGAGGGTGACGGGGCTGGGGGCTCAGGCTCGGACTCAAGGACGTGGCCTGCTGCGGGGGGTCCAGGTTGGGGCAGTAAAGAGAGCGCAGCAGATGGGCAGGAGGCCGAAGCTGGGGGAACGACACGCGGAGGGCGCCAGGCCCGCACGCGGTACCGAGGGGAAGAGGGAACTTCCCTGAGCCAAGGTGGTCCAGGCATCAGGGCTGGGACGGGCCAGCCACACAGACAGGGCCGGGTCCCCAGTGCACGTGGGGCAGTGCCCGGCACTGGCGAGGGCAGGCGTGGCCACAACACTGCCTGCAAAGGCCACAGTGGCGGCTGCTGATAACAAGGGCCGGGCTGACCCGGCTGGGCCGAGGGCAGTGTCGTCTCCCCCTGGCATCTGACCAGCACTCCTTCTAGCAAGCTGGCACCCAGAGCGCCTGCTCTGGAACAGTCTCCTGGCAGAGCGTGCAGGGCCCTGGCCCGGCTCACCCCGCTGAACTCGTCTCCTTGTGGGTAACGCGGAGACGCCAGGTTGCTCGCATGCAGGTAAAGCCTTTACCAACACGAGCGTGGCTGTAAGGAAGCGCCTGGAGCAGAGTCAGGGACGGGCTCGGCGCCGGCTAGCGGTGCCATTGCGGGCGGGCGTCTGCCTCTGCACCGCAGGCCGGTTAGCTGCCAAGGGGCCCGCTGAGAGGAGGGAAGCCAGAAGCCGTCCAGAAACAGGCAGATGCCACACGGGCCCCACTGTGGGCGCCAGTGGCCTCGCATTGCCGAGGAGGCCCTGAGACAGCCGAGCCTCGGAGGGGTGATCACACCATTCCCGCCCCGCCAGCTGCCTCGTGCCCCACGGGACGGCAGGACGGAGGCTGGGGGCTGGGACGGGAGGGCCTGCCTGAGTCCCCAGCCAGCTCATGACACACCACACTAGCTGTGAGACCCCAATGGATACTGAGCCACGTGTGTGCCTCAGTTTCCCCACCTGCAAAACGGAGATAACAGGCGTCCCTATGTCATAAGGCCATCATGAGGGTGGCCAGAGGAACAAAGCATGCCAAGAGCCTCAGAAAGCCACCCAGCACGTGCAGGGGGCCGTCGGTGTGCTGTGCCCACTGTGTTGTGCCCACCGTCGCCCCCACACGGCAGGTCTTGGGGCCACCTGCGGACAGCAAGGATGGCCCACGCCGGGAAGTGGTCCCCGAATCTCCTGTTCTCAGCCACGTGGAGAGCAGACGGGCTCTGCTCCAGCGCCAGGACCAGCCCGGGCTGTGTCCCCACTCACTTCCATCACCCCGGCCACAGCGACCGGTGGGGACAGGCACGTGAGCTAACCAGAGCCAGTGAGATCTGAGGGAAGCTTCCTCTCTCTTCCCAGGAGCCACCAGAGGAGTGTCCTCTTGTACCCCAAACGACGCAGTGGCAGGTGGACAGCTGGGGACGCCATCGTGGGACACATGGCAGTGGCTGGGGACAGCGAGGGGAGGCTGCGGAGGCGGCCAAGGTGAGGAAGGCAGTGCAAGGAGAGAGAGGGATGCCATCCGCGCACCTGGACCGAGCCTCGCCGCGGCCCGGGCCTACGAGGCACCTGAGCACCAAATTCCCTTTATGGGATGAGCCAGTCTGAGATGGGTTTTCAGTGATTTGCAACTCAAAGATTTCTAATGGCTAAAACAATCAAACCTCAAACTAGGCTGTTCCCTTCCTGGGGAAGATGAAAGTCAGTCAAGGTAATCAATGTTCTAATGGCTTTGACAACATCTAGGAGGCTCTTGCAGACACACACACAGGCCCAGACTTCTCGGGCTGGGGACAGCTGGGTCACAGTGTGGTGCAGGGGACCCCACCAGGGCGGCCGACCCTCTGGCATGGAAGCAGGCCCCCACCTCTCTTCTCCTTGAGGTGGCAGGAGGGGTCAGATCTCAGGGACAGTTGCCAGCAGCCCTGCCCAGGGTACCTGGATCAGGCCTGCGTTCCAGGACAGGAGGGGTCAGCGGCTTGCAGGGGCCGGGGGACGGACAGGGCACGGAGGGGGCGTGCTGGGGTGTGGGGCCTGGCTGTACCCGCCCCCGCCCGCCACGGAGAGGCTATGCAAAGACCACAGCAATGCAGGGGCAGCCGCAGCAGACAAGACAACTGTAGGGGGACTGTCCCGCACAGCCAGGGCAGCAGCCCCCCATGTGGGCCCCAAGCCACTCTCCACCCCACACCTGGGGCAGCAGCCACCAGCCCCAACCCTCTTTGTACACACAGCACTCAACTGTCTGACGGATAAAACTGCGCCTATATGGCCATAGTGATATTTATAATGTTCTTTTGGTGAGGCTTAGAAATGTTTCCATAATTTTATGGATATTTACGTATATTTTCTGGAACTCGTGGGCTGCTGTTTTACATTAAAATATATAATCAATTTGGTATACAGTTGGCCCCCCACAGCTGCAGATTCGACCAACCACAGATCAAAAATAGTTGGAAAAAAATAAAAAATAACGTAAATTTTAAAAGCACAGCGTTACAACTACCTCCACGGCATTTACGCTGCATCGGGCGTGATAAGTGATCAGAGACGTGGCGAGTACATGGGAGGAACGTGTAGGCTATGCGCAAATGCCACGCCATGTCACAGCAGGACTGCGGCGTCCTTGGAAGCCAGTGCCCTGGGGGCCCCGGAACCAGCGCCCACGGATGCCCGGGACCACCGCGCGTTCCTGAGTTCGTGAGTTGGGAATACACTAGTTTTCCCGCCTGGTGAGCCGTGGCTCCGACAGCCACGCTCGACACGTCAACCGTCACGTTCTGCTTCACGACGACCCCGTTCCCACGCGCTGCGGCGTCACCCGTGCCCACACCGCCTGACGTCCGGTGTGTGCCCCACGCACGTGCCTGTTACTCCTCCGGTAACTCTCCCGTGCTTTTTCTTCTTTCTCACAATTTACAGTTCAGACAGACTTTAGAATCTTTTTTGTCAACTTCCAAAGAAACAAAAGCCAAACCCATCTGGAGCTCAACTGCTTCACGCACTGAGTGCACGGCCCTGGGGTGAGCACAGACGTCCTCGCGGCACGAAGCCCCCAGTCGCCCCCTCGGGAAAGCGCCTCTGCGGGACACGCGGCTGCCCCCTCCCGGCCGGCGCTCTCCTCGCACCCCCGCGTCAGGCCTTTGTCCAGCACGTTGGTTCTCCCGTCCCTGCTGCTACCGAGAACGAGCCCTGCGCCCCACCGTGTTTCTGCCCGGGCCAGTGCAGCCCGTGCTGACGGCGGCCGGATTTTGCAAGTGCCACCGCAGCGAGCTCACGGCCAAGCGGGCCGTGGAAGAAAGACGTGGCTCGCGGGCCTTCGCCCAACACCCGGCTCCCAGCACCGGCAGGTGGCAGGTGCTCGTGACAAAGGACCCTCTTACTCAGGAAAGACATCAGCACCCTCTGTGAAAAGTAAAAAACCTCACGAGCGTCGCTCTTCGGTGACGAAGCTTCCTCGCTTTCCTCACGAGCGAAAGCTCTTTCATTACGTGCATTAGCGAGTTTCGTTCTGATAGTGTCGCAGAACCCTGCACCACTCCTAAATGCCGTAGGAAAAGTCAGGCTCTGAACTTCCAGACGCCAGAGACTAAACCGAGCATGGCTTCCACGACAGCCCGGGTGAGTCGAGCGCCGTGCGGACGCCACCGCCTGGGCTGCCCTGGCGGCCCGCGACCCCAGCCTCCCGCTGTTTGCCGTGAAAAGGACCCTGTGTCGCCTGCGGACCTGCAGCCCGGAGAGATGAGCCGGATGTCAAAGGAGAGAGTTTCACGAGAAACAATGTGATGGGGGAAGGGATGGCCACAGAGGCCACAGAGAGCTGAAACGTGACGTCGGCAGAGCGTCCTGGGTCACAGACCAGCCCAGGTGTGACCGAGGACGTCTGGGCCCCGGCAGCCTCCCACTGTGAGGGACCGGGGGCTGGCAGGTGTGGGGGCTCGGCTGGCACGCAGACCTTGCGGGGAGGCATGGTGTCTGCCTATTCGTGCAAACTACCTGCTCAGGGTCTGCAGAACGCGCCTCAGCGACCTCAAACGGGGCTGCGTCCTTCTTTCTTCTTTTGCTGGGAACGTAATTAGCAGCTTCCAACTCATCAGACGTGCAGTCTACAGCATCTACAAAAACCTCTGGCGCAACTCCCTGTTGAGACACGACCCCTTCAGACAGAGCAGGGCTGCCCCACGCCTGGCCTGGCTCGGGCAAAAGGGGCTTTCTCCTCTCAGGAAGGCGCGGGCAGGGCACCCCCTCGTGGGGACCGAGCCACATCCCAGCACCCTCGGGGGTCCAGGGCCCACAGGCAGGAGGCTGCAGGGAGACCCAGGAAGGGCTCCTGCAGCAGGCAGAGCAAATCCGTGTGAGAAAACTGCCCTGCGCCAGGGATGGCACCCCACAAGGCAGGCTCCCGCCCCCCGTGCAGGCAAACTGGGCTCCTGGCTCCCTGGGGCCACCGTCCCGATGCCCAGGCTAGTGCTTGGAACAGACACAGCTGCAGACACCCCCGGGAGCAGCAGGCCAGGCCTCCAGGACCTCCAGAGGCCGACGCGGGCAGTGGCGGTCCTCAGCAGGCACATCCCCCAGCACCTGCCGCCCCGCCAGGCAGCTCCAGGAGTCCAGCAGCCCAGCAGGAAGCCAAGGGAGGGAAGCTCCACCCTCACTCCGCGCTCCAGCGAAGTCTGCGCTGCCCTCGCGGCGGTGGCACAAGCCCATTAGCCCCTCAGGAGGAAGCAAGAATCAGCAAAGGGCTGCCGGTCAGCGTCCAAGGGCCACCAGAGAAGAGGCTGGGTGGAGGACGGTCATCCCAGGTGACAGGAGGGGCGGGACCTCCCCACTGTCCGCACTCTCCACCCAACCCACGACTGTTGGGTGGGGTCCCCCATCCGCGCCAGGTGATGAGCTGGCCACCAGCTCACTGTCTCAGCTTCAGGGACACCTCCCCTGGTCCCTGGTGCCCTCGTCCACAACTCTCAGAACACGGTGTCTGCACGGAGAGAACCACACTCCAGAACGCGCACTGAGAACCCACCCTCGGACTGAGAATTACGTAGGCTCACCGAGGGGCTGGGAACGCACATGAAAGCCCCTGTAAGCCAATCACCGAGACGGCGCCGTCGGCACGCACTTGCGCACCTCCCTCCAAATGTCTCTCACGTGTGCGTGTGTGCACACTTAGGCATTTTTGTAAAAACCCCCTGCTGTGACAACAGTACTATGCACAGTTACACTGAGGTGGAAATCACAGACCGCAGAATGAGCCACCTTGCGTACACAGCTCAGGGGCGGGGAGCACATCACAGCGTTGTGCGGCCTCCATCTCTCGTGGCTCCCACTTCCATCGCCCCAAGAGGAAACCCCGTACCCATCAATGGTGACCCCCTGTCCCCTCCTCCCAGCCCCTGGACACCACTGACTGCTGCCCGTCCCCATGGATGTGTCTACTCTGCACGTTCCACACAAACAGGATCCTACACGATAAGGCCGTCTGCATCTGCCTCCTTTCACTGAGCGCCACATCTGAGGTCCACACGCTGTGGCCTGTGTCATGCCACATCCCCTTCTATACCTGAATCACGTGCCACTGCGTGTGCAGACCACGTTTTGTTTATCCACCCGTCTGCTGATGGACACCTCAGTTGCTTCCGCCTTTTGGCCACTGTGAGTAATGCTGCTATGGACGTTCATACACAAGTGATCTGTTTTTGTTTTTTAAGAGCCAGAGTCTTGCTCTGTTGCCCAGGCTGGAGTGCAGTGGCATCATCATAGCTCACTGCAGCCTCCAACTCCTGGGCTCAAGGGAGCCTCCTGCCTCAGCCTCCCAAGTAGATGGAAATACAGGCGCCACCAGACCCAGCTAATTCCTTTTTTTAACTTTTTGTAGAGATGGGGTCTCGCTATGTTGCCCAGGCTGCTCTTGAACTCCTGGCCTCAAGTGATCCTCCCGCTTGGCCTCCCAGAGTGCTAGGATTACAGGCGTGAGCCACTGCGCCCGGCAGATGAGACTGGGAAAGGCTATTCTTTGTTGTGTGTGGTCTCTGGAGTCTCTGGTTTCTTTAGTCTGTTGCCAGTCAGTGGTTTGACAGAGATTTCCTTAAACACCTGGAGCCACAAAAGGGAAAACAATACTCTCCCAGTCTTTGCAGATTGGCTCTGTGCCAGGGCATCCCCATCACCCACCTTGGCTGTGACAACTCTGCCTTAGCCTTCGTTTCCTGCCTGCACTGAACCTAACGGTCAGGTGACGGCGTAGGGTCTCCTCAGGTCTTTCTGAGAACACATGCTGCCTCGGGCATTTCTGCGGCCTCCCCTGGGAACTTTTTGAAATCTTACCCTCCCAGGTAACTCTCTCCCCAGCTTTTCCTCCCAGGCCTTTGGCATGTTTATTGTTGGCCCCAAACGTAATCTTTTGCCCTGGGTGGCAACAGCTCATTCATTTGCCTTCAACGTTTCCAAGAAACACCTCCACTTAGCCACTTTTCTGCCCTGAGAGTGAAAAAAGGTTCACCCAAACTTCATCCCAAGTGGTTCAGACTCGGGGCTGACCTTCCCTGCTCTGGAAGGGATGACTCTCCAAGGCAACGACTCTAGCGCACACACACACAGACACGCACACACACATGCGCACACACACACGCACCCCACAGACAGCACTGCCCGCTGCATCGCTGCTCCCCCAGCCCAGCCACGGAGCAGCATCTACAAGGGGCAACAGACGGAAAGCCAGCCCCGACCTGGAAAGAAAGAAAACTTCCACTTTCCAGTGCCCGACAGGACACCTAGAAGCTGGACACAGCCAGCTGCGTCCTCACAGGGCTGAGCTTGGGCAGGGAGCCCTTCTCTTCTCGTCACGCTCCCTGAACAGGTCCAGGACGCGCCCTGGGAGGCCTCCCTGGCGCTCCCACCGGTTCCCCCCCTAAGGAAGCAGTCTCTAACACGTCTAACACGTCTAAGGGGCTGTTGGAGGCCGGAGGGAGACAAAAGAGGCCTCAGCCCCACCCCCCCAGGAAGAGCACCCCCCAGCCAGTGCGTTTCCCAAGCACGCGCCCTGCACCCAAAGCTGTGAGGCACCTCTGGGCTTGCACGCTCCATGCAAAGAAACCCAGAGAACGGTGGGACACGTGTCACGGAAGCCCAGGCCCCACACCCAGCCGCAGCTCCTGGGAAACACACAGCATTGGGTCCTGTGCAGGGAAGAGCAAGGTGGAGACTCCAGAAGGCCTGGAAGCCAGAGACTCTTGCAGCGGACTCATCAGGCGCAGAAGGGCCTGCTCCGCTCTGGCCAGAGAGCGGGGTTCAGCGGGCTGGGCCACCGTGGCATTTCGGAGGCTGGCTGTGCAGCAAGGCTGTCTTGGAGAGGACGCCGTGGGGACACAGGGGCCAGCAAGGGAGACTCAGAGCCCACCTTGCTCAGCCATGGATGAAACTGCATCAGGAAGCAGCTCCGTGCAGAGAACAGGGGAACGGGGAGGTGGGGGCGGCACACTCACCTGCTGGACAGTCCAAGGGGCTTCGGAACAGGGCTCGTCTGGGTTTTCCTGACAATCACTTGAGCCCAGGGACAGGCAAGGGCCCCCTTCCTCCTTTAGCTCTTCCTCACACTCCAAGCTGCCCTCTGGGGCCGCCGTGGCATCACTGTTCTCAGAATCTACGAAAGCAGACAAAGGAAGGGTCACACCTCAGCAAGTGAGCACCAGCAGAGGAAAGTGACATCCTCCCCACGCACATATGTTGAGGGACGAGCCCTGTCCTCCCTCTGAGGTCCTTCCTGGGCCCCCTGACCTGAGCAGGGTACAGTTTCTTCTTCTGGTGGGCAGAAAGGAGCCAGGGACTCCAGCCCCTGCACAACGAGGGGGCAAATCAGACAGAAGTAGGGGGCAGGCCTAATGTCCAGCCCCTCCCCCACAGCGTCCACATCAGCATATTCACCTGGACGCTGCACTGGGACTCAGTGGCATCTCAGACGCCACAGTCCCCAAAGGGAGCTGCCATGCCTTCCTCCTCTACCAAAAAGGTTCCTACCATTTTCTCCAGAGCGGGCACCTCTCCCAGCGGCAACCCAGGGCTCTCCCGACACTTCTCTTGTCCAGGCATCGTCTGCCTGGGCGTCTGCCTCCACAATCACGCCTGTTCAGGGCTGCCACCCAGCAGCACTGAGCACCTGATCCAGGAGCGCCTCCCAAACCTCACCCTTTGCAATGGGTTGGATACAGTCTGTCTGTTCCCACGAAAGCTCATGTTGAAATATGAGCCCCAAATGGCAGCATTGGGAGGTGGGGCCTGGGGGCAGACCCCCATAGGCTGGATTAGTTCCCTTGAGAGTGAGGGTTATAAAGCCAGGACACCCCTTGGGTTTTCCCCTCTTCCCACGTGTCCACTTCTCTGACCTTCTCTGCCACGTCGTGAGGCTGCACAGGAGCTGGGGCCGTGCCCTTGAGCAGCCCAGCCTGCAGAACCAAGCCAAACAGATCTCTTTACAAATTACCCAGCCTCAGGTATTTTTTTATAGCAACACAAAACGGACTCAGACACCCTCCAAGGGCTCCCTGTTTTCAAACCTGGGTCTCGATGACCCACCACTCCGACACATGCTCCAGGCGGTACCATTTCAAGTCTAGTTTTCCACATAGAACCTTCTCTCAGCCTCACCCGCAGAGACTCTTTTCCACGGCCCTAGGCCTGCTCCGGCTGCTCCCCTGCCCTCCTCCCTCTCCCGTCACCCAGTCTGATCACTGCCCTTTTCCACCTCTGTAAGTTCTAGAACACGCTGCCCTTGTTCCCCTTTGAGTCCCAAGTGCCTGGACATATGAGCGCTCAGGAGTTAATGAAGTTTATTCACAGGATTCAGAATTGACAACCAATCCTCTAAATTTCTACTTACATACACACACATAAAACATTACAGGCAAAAAACAAAAGCTGGAGAAGATTGTCACACACAGCCGGGGCTACCTTTCTGGGCAGCAGACATTTCATATCAACTGGGGATTCAGAGCTGGCTGCCTCCCACCACGCCCCCAGCTGGGGGGCAGCCCTAACCCGGCCTAACCCAGTCAGAACCTGGCACTTCCCCTGGCCTCAGTGACTGGCTCAGGGAGGGGCCCATTAGCAAGAAGGACACAAGAGTCCAGGGCTGGCTTACTGGAGTTCCTGACACAACCCCTTGCCCCACCTACGGATACTCAGAAATTGCCGTCCATTTCTGCCTCTCTATCTTTATCACCACTAGACCAGGTTTACAAGAAATTCTCAAGGGAGGCTTATACCTGGAAGTAGAAAGATGATAAACGCCATCATGAAAACATACAAATCTATAAAACATGCTGGTAGAGCCAATACACAAAGGAGAATGAGAAAGAAATCAAACCTTACCACTACAGAAAACCATACAATTGTAAAAATAAATAATAAGAGAGCAAGTAAGGAACAAAACAAAAAATAAGCAAAAAAATAAACCAGAAAACAACCAATAAAATGACAGTCCTCACCTATCAGCCATAACCTTCAATGTAAATGCATTAAACTCCCCCATTTAAAAGACATAGACTGGCTGAATGGATTAAAAAATAAGACCCAATTACATGCTGCCTACAAGAAACTCACCTCACCTGTAAAGACATACACAGACTGAAAGAGAAGGGATGGAAAAAGATATTCCATGCAAATACAAACCAAAGGTGAGTAGGAGTAGCTCTCTATATATAAGCAAAAGAAACTTCAAGTTAAAAACTGTAAAAAGAGACAAGAACATTACATAACAATAAAGGGATCAATTCAGCAAGAGAATATAACAATTGTAAATATATATGCACCCAACAGCAGAGCACCCAGGTATATAAAGCAAATATATTAGATCTAAAGGGACAGATAAACCTCAGTACAATAACAGTTGGGGACTTCAACACCCCACTCTCAGCATTGGGTAGATCATCTAGACAAAAAAATCAGCAGAGAAATACCAGACTAAAACTGCACCACAGACCAAATGGACCTAATGCAACATTTCATCCAACAGCTGCAGAATACACATTATTTTAATCAGCACATGGAACATTCTCCAGGATTGGCCATATGTTAGCACACAAAACAAGTCTCAAAAAAAATTTTTAAATCAAAATCATATCAAGCAT